GACCCAAACAGACAGACAAACAAATGTTGCCTAAAAGCCATTTTGAATGTGATGGTCCAGAAAGACCAGTAGACGATTTTACTCAGCGCATGGTGCCCTCTGAAAAATTCAGTCTATTTAAAGGAACAGACTTGAAAAAAGAAGATCAAGCACATTATGTGGGTCTAGGGTTGATCACGTAACCACTTTCGTGCTCTCCGCGGCAACGCTGTGGTGCGTCTGTCTAGTCACGTATCACTCCTCAGTTAGACATCTGAGAACCCAGTTCTTCAGAGGACACCGCACCTTAGCTCGCGTCAGTTTCTTTTGCTGGGGGGAGTGTATCCTTGATGGACAATACTGGAAGGGGGAGGGAGGAGGAAAGAGAGGATTGGCGCAGTGGCTGCATCAATAGGCTCAGCATAGGAGCCACTGTGGGGATGGTGCAGGACCAGGCAGGGTTTCACTCTCTTGTGTATAGGGTCAATGTGCATCGGATCCGACTCGGTGCACCAACAGCAAACACACCATGGAGGGCTCCCAGCGTCACGCACGCTCAGCTGTGCCTGGAGTGTCTTAGTCGGGAAGCCTTCTACCAATCTTGTGAGCTCTTGTATCTATTATAGCCCTGCTCCTGCTTCTGTATCCTACTGTATCCCACATGTAACGGATGTATTAATCTGCCAAAAATTATGAATGTGTGAGCTTCCTTTGTTCTGTGCCTTATCTCCATAGCGTCCTGACTGACTCCTTAGACCAGGGATCCTCAAACTTTTTAAACGGGGGGCCAGTTCACTGTCCCTCAGACCCGTTGGAGGGCCGGACTATAGTTTAAAAAAAACAAAACTATGAACAAATTCCTATGCACACTGCACATATCTTATTTTGAAGTGAAAAAAACAAATGGGGCAAAAATTCCCGGCGGGCCGAATAATTGTCCTCGGCGGGCCGCATGTGGCCCGCGAGCCATAGTTTGAGGACGCCTGCCTTAGATGCCATCACGACCTCGTGCAAGTGGCCTCCCTCATCCAGATGGTGTGTCTGTATCTTTGTCCCTTTTAAAACTTCGTAAGTGTTCTCCTGAAGTTATATTCGAGTTTAGGCTCTCTTCTGTGCCCTGGTGAGACTTAGACTAGGGCTGAATCAAAGAGAGAGAGTAGATGCCTAAAGTGGGTGAGACAGCAGACGAGAAATGCATGTTCCTATGCAAATGGCCTGGTAGTGTCTGACACCTAGCAGATGCTCGGCTCATGTGTCAAACCGGAGAAACTCCCAGAAGGAAGTAAATTCGGAGTAGCCACTGAGGGGATGTGGCTGGCCAGCGCTGAGAGGACAGTGCACCAGGTAGACAGAAAGCCTTGAGCAGGACAGAAAGGATTGTGATGGTAGGGAAGTGGCATGCTGGTGCGTGTGGCGGGGAGGGGTCAGGGTTGAAGCGAAGAGTTGGAAGGG